TTACAGATCGTTATTGTAAGTAACCATAACGCTATCGCTAAATCACTCTGCAGTTCACTACAGCATGTATTAAGTCTTTTCAGTCTGCTGTGTCGTTAACAGCCGCTGTCTGGTAACGGATTCGAACGCCGTAGATTCATCAATTTCTTTGTTCACGTCCTTAGTGGCCGGCGACTGCCTCAGAAATGAACAAAGTCAACGGACGATCGATCAATCAGTAAGTCTTGGTGTCGAGCCCTTTCTGGACTTCACCAGATATTTCTTACTGTTTGACAGTTACGGTCTTGTTTCTGTGGGGCGTCCTCTCTGACGAGAGGACGGGTCTGTCTTTTGTATATGCCAGTGCACTTTTTCTCGGGTTCGAATCCCTTGGGTCTTGCAACCGTTTATTGTGTCAGATTTGAAACATACCTTTTCATTGCCTCCTACGACTCGCAGGATCATGGTGGAGGTATTCGACCCCGTCTCCACACGGTCCCCCCCCTTCCGACTTGGTCAAGCAAAGTCAAAGTCAACACCGCTAGTGTAGTGGTATCATGCAAGATTCCCGTAAATGAACAATTCCATACTTGTCCTGCTTATAACACCTCGGCAAGGACCGCATAGAAAACACCTATCCCAACAGTTCTTATATTTTTGCGTCACGGAGCTGTCGGACAGCTTCCCAGCTAGCCCATTGGTGCATGTTAGGAATCTGCTGCCTTGCAACAGCTGCTGTTTACAGAGTCACCGCTTAGCAACGGGTCTGTAAGCCACAATACGATGTGTAACAAAATCCCCGGACTGGAAATCTTCTACTGTACCGCAAGGCTGCCTACAAAAGCCACGACGTACCCCGAATAATGTTTCAAAAAAACAATAACGTCAGATAAGCAAACATTGATACGTTCTGCGGTTGCGCAGAGGTAACTATTCAGAGTGTGGTTTACTGGGATGTGACGTGGCGTAATGGAGACGGCGGATATCGACATTTCGGAACGACAAGTTATATCCATCTTCAGGATGATGAATCGGCTTGTTTAGGTAGGCAGGCTGCAAGCCCCCATGGGAGGGGGCAAAGAACTGGAGCCCAATTCAGTCAATATCCGCCTACACGATTATACCGTGTCACAGCCCGGGAGACCATTACAGAACAATAGCTTACAGGCCATTCAATTTGCTGGTATAAATTAACATAGCTTAACAAACTAACTTCCTGGAGCTGAATCCTTCTTGAGAAGCCGCCAGTCGCTCAGCTACTCAAGAATTCCGCGACATTTTATGGAACCCGAAGGATCATTACCGTATTTACGAGAGTCTTCCACTGGTCCCTATCAACCAGATCAATCCAGTCCAGTCTCCTTCAATATCAATTTAATATTATCCTCTCAGCTAGGTCTAAGTCTCCTCGGTGGTCTCTTTCCTTATGGCTTTTCCACCAACATTCTACACGCGTTCTTCTTCGCCTTCACGCGTGCTACACGACATGCCCAGCTCATCCTCCTTTGGTTTCATTATTCTAATTATACTCGGTGAAGAGTATTAGTTATGATGTCCTCATTATGCAGACTTTTCGAACCTCCTACAATTTAATCCATCTTCGTGCAGATATTTTCCTCAGCAGTTCCTCCCTTAATGTCATACACCAAGTTTCACACCCACACAGAATCACAGACAAAATTACAGTTACTAATATGAACTACGCTTTCTTAACTGCGCGAATCTTAATGATGCTGTCAATTACAGAGGCTGTGTAGGATCGAATGACTGTTGTGGGTGTGCATGAGAGCTGGCTTGTGTTACACCAGGATTTGTCTTCAGGAAGTGAGAAGAACATCATCAAAAAATGTTAGTCGCGTGAGCTTGCACGAGCATTGGAGAAGTGCGCATTACAAGGAGACGCACCCATGTGACCCTCAGGACGTGGAGAACAGAGGAAAATTCGGCGAGCAATCTTATTCACGACAAAGAGTACCGGGTCGCTATTAAGCAGCACCTGGAATATAAACGTTTCCTCATTGGCGTTTCGAAACGTCAGCGGAGCAGTGAACAGCTAAGAAGATTTCTGCTGGCTTTCTATATATGTAAAACAGGCGTAAAGTGAAAATGTAATAAAAAGAAGAACGAGGATTCTACCTCACTGATGCAGGCAGATAATGTGTCAAGAAGAGACATGAGATAACACGGCTTTGCTGAGGATGTACGATCTTCCACAGCGTAAAAGATTCTTAACAGGTTTATGGGGGAGGGGGAAGTCAATAATAAAATTCTAGTAACTAGTTCACCTTCGCTCCCCGGATCATCAAAGACTAAGATAAACGCCCGTGGGAGTATGTACATAAGGACTATTTTGAGACAATAAGAAATTTGTGAAGCGCATGTCTAACTAGAGACACTTTTCGTCCCGCAAGATGTACGTGCATCTCATGAGACTAGGCCTGAACACTGACATCTCGAAATACGATCTTTCCACTTCATAATATTCTGTTTTATGAGTGTTGATAAACCGAAATCTGACCGAGCCTATTATGTTACGGTTCTCTCAGACAGTGTTTCTGATCTTATTGTAGGAGCAGAATAATGCAGAAGGTAAAGATAGTCAGCTTCACGTGCCGGCCAATTTACCCTCGCAACCTACAGCAGAAAAAATCCCTGCCTTTGTCGGGTATCAAAGTGGATCGTCCAGCTTCTAGTCATCCATTTTGCTGATTAAGCTATCCTGTCGAGTTTCCAATGAAATTAACCTCGGACATTTTACGAAATAACTAACCAGTAGAGTACATAAAGAGAAATGTCACAGTAAGCACAGTGTTTACAGAAAAATAAGAAACTGGAAAATGCACTAACAAAGCTCAATAATTCTGTCATTGTTCCAAAATTTGTAAATCGCAAATGCTAAAGTTTCTGTGCCCCTAAAACTGGGGGTCGGACGAGGTGCCAAAATCTGGCCAACGGTTCTCGGGTTATGAGATAACGCCACATATAAGCAGTACTTGCATTATCCCGAAACGTGCAATTTTTATTGAAAGAGATTTGAAATTTTCTCGGCGGTGACTATGAAGAAAGCCGTCTTCTGGGATGTGGCGCCGTGTAGGTATTGTGTGAACCGACGTGTCGGAGGAACGTCGGTTCACACAATACCTACACGGCGCCAAATCCCAGAAGACTGCTTTTTTCTTATTGAAAAAGTTTACTGGATATAAAACGTGTTTCCTGTGTCTTTACACTGTTTCTGCAAACCATTGTTCGCTCCGAGTTACACTGAAGTTACACTGAAGATGCGATCAAAAATGAATGCAGGTCTCCTTATCAAATAGCTGCTACTGGAGTACGATTTAACTGATACTGCACCACGTCAACAAACTTAGTAACACTCGTCTATGTCAGATCTCATGACAAACTGTTTGGTGTTCGCTGAATTATTGCATTCAGTGAGACATGATGAAGGTGAAACACAAAAAAAAAAGTTCAGTAACTACGCGCTGTGAATGCGACAATAATTATATAAATTAACTCCATTCGATGTCTACAAATCTGAGACTATTTCATTATTAATTAGTTTAAAAGTAATGATAGTACACCAAAAAACAGGATAATGTGATCTCGTGTCAGTCTTTGCAGAATATCTAGGTAAAATGGTGGTATATTATTCTGGCTCTCCACCTTATCGTGGTGAGGCGGTTTACGTATGCCAAGGACCCTGAGAGCTATACCAGCGGTAGCGTAGCTACTGGCAGGGCCTCCCTTGCTGGACAGGTCAAAGGGTAGGCATCAGACGAAGAGAGACACCAAAAACCAAAAACTGATGCCGGAAGCAGCGTCATCAGCAGCGACTTGAAGCACAGAGCAAATGATGCTCGAGATGGTTCAAGTTCGTATAGCAACAGGCGTGACCAGAGTGGTTTGAACGGCTGTTGTACTGCGATGTGGAAAGCAAATGGGAAAACTACCACATTAGCACTTTTCCTGGATAGTCTCTTTCAAAAAACAGAGACACCATGTATGCGAACCAGATGACGAGGAAGAAGACGTAAGAAGATGCTGGATGACCTTGGGGACAGAAGAGGATATTTTCATTTGAAGGAGAAAGCTCTAGATCGCATTAAGTGGAGGAACTGTTTTGGAAGAGACTGTGGACCTGTCGTGTGACAGATTACTGATGAATGAATGAATGAATGAATTAATCTGGCACCATAAGAGTACAAAGTAGTAACAAACAACAGGGGTCTTGGAAAGAGAACACATGGCACTTACTTTCTTTCAGTGTTCCACTAAACGTGGTGTGACTACAAGAAACTACAACTTAATTTGCTGTTTCATTCACAGTTACGTCAATATCACGGGCTCCATTTTACAAACTCATTATCCAATCACAATACGCAATATTGAACAAATGCACTTTCCAATAAGGCTTAAATAAGCATTCATCCTAAAAATGACGACAGAGAGACTAATGTTGGCAGGTCAGCCTACTGGCAGAATAATTACCTACAACCAGCACATGCAAATTCAAAATCTCACGCAGCACCATTATGATTTTATTGCATATCTGATGCAACGATGAATAAATTTGGTAATATATCTGCGTACAGATCAGTCTTATGGGATATGATGTCGTGTAGTCTGCTAGGGGTTTAATGGCGTTTCGGAGGAGAATACTGCATCTGTCTTCTGGGTAGAAACTTAGCTAAGCGTAACTGGGGCCCTGAGAGAATAGTCTGCATGCTCCTCCGAAACATCGGTTAACATCTACCAGACTGAACGGTGTCACACACTTCAATACCATATACATAAGAACTATCTTGCCGTTCTACCCTGAAGGTGGTAGTAGCACGTTCCTGCAAACGGTCAAGCGAATTTCCACCACAACCCATAAGACGGTAATTTTCAGTCACCGTCGTTGAGAATCTCACACGTTAGAGCAGGCTGATAGGTTTAGGCTACCCGACATGCTTCGGAAATAAACCTACAATATTAAAGTCAAGGAAAGCTCTCAGAGTCAGGAAGAGGCGTGTACTCACTCTCCGATACGCTGGCCGTTCCAACAGTCGGCCGTGTCTCTCGTTTCTGCGAAGCTCTCATCGGAACAGAGCGATTCCGCAAGGTTGGCGTAGAACCCACGACTCTTGGTCAGACTGGCCAGGAAGTGATGCAGCTGCGTCGCCAGGCTGTCCTCTTCGCTGCCGCCCCCTGTCCACTGCAACGACCCTCGGTGGCCGTGACCTACGGACATGAAGAGTTTCACTCAATGCAGAGAGCCATGGGCAGCCCGAACAGAGGTCCCGCACATCACCTGAAGAATCGACGTGGTGACCTTCAATTCAGAATCCTTCACATGAGCTACTGATCCTGCCACGCTATGCTTTCTTCATGTTCAGGTCACAGTCCTTATCCACGACCACGATCCCGACAATTCCGAGGCTTCCGTGGTTTTACTCAGCTACTTTAGGCAACTTCTACTACAACACCTTAAGAGATCATGGCCGTTAACTTTCACGTCCTTCCAGTTCATTATTTAAAATCACAGTTCTACTCGACGCTACACAATCTATGGATCGCTACATAAACTATGAAACAAGATTAAAACTAAAATATTCAACATGCTCTTCTCGCTAAGTGCAAATTTATTATTATTTTTGCTGCTGTTGGTATCGTCGTCGCCTCTCTAATCATTAGGTTTTCTGTCCAGTTCCAATTCAGGAATAATCTAGAACCATGAATCTTACATCGAGTTGGCAGGACTCCCCAGACGGGGGATCAGCCTGTCGCAAGATCGCTACTTAACACAGAAAAACACAAACGCAGAGAAACGGGCAGACATACAGAATGTCCTAAAGTCGTTTCACGGAAATTATCCTCACGTTCAAGAGAAAAATGACTTTATTAAAACTAAATGCAAACTGAGAAAACACATCAGTATCAAAGTGGTGATAGAAAGAACTAACCATAGTGTTACCACCTGCTGCAATAGAAATTTGAACACAAGTGATAATTATCACAGTTAAACAATGCACCGTTTTGGTAAAACGACTTTCAGAACATCCGATACGCACATGCCTCGAGTGAGATTCGGGCCTTGGACCGCACTGCCACTTCGATCGGGTAAGGATGAAGCCTTGAAGAAAATGCCTTGACAGATAAGAGGAGCAGTAACAGACACACGGACGAAATACGTGAAAAGCTCAAATTTATGCTCTCCACCCAGAGGCTTAGCTGAGCTGGGCGTGTGTAATTAGTGGGGCACACAAGAAATTCATGCAACCCTTCGATAGCTAGAAGTCAATGAGAGAAAAACATTAAAATGAATTTCAAGACAATAAGCTGTAAGGGTTGGATTTTGCAGGGACACAGTTCAGTGGAGAATATACGGCGACAAACTTCGAGTTACACAAAAGAGGAATGGGAAAACGCACTGAAAATGGCTCCTGCCGACAGCTCTGCAGACTGACTTTGTCAGAGAACCGTCTTGGGGAACCTGTAACAGAATTTGGTAGATTGGTTGAGAGTCCAGGGGAAAGACAAATACTTATTAAATGGACATTGTTACATTAATGGCTCGTGAATTCGCTCCTATATGGGACAACAGTTATAAAGTCTTAAGGCATTAGACATAGCTTCTTTAAAATTAGAAGCTTTGGAAATAAGCAGACGCATTTACATCATCTGAAGCCCTGAAGGTCAGTGGTACCAAGTCTAGTAACACAGCTTATAATATTATTGTTATGTAAAAGGTAAAAGTAAAGCTACCCTTGTAACAGACCGTGAAGGTCGATAAGGTTGATAGACGTCGAGGCTCCCACATTCTCTACACAATCGGCTCACAGATGGCGGTAAGGTGGACAGCCTTATGCGCCGGCCGCCCTTTAACCCCAGGAAGATTCCTGGTACTCATACCTGTCAGAGGCTGAGGCGACCTCAGGACCATAGTGTGGCTGGAAGGATTATGTCAATTGAAAAATCCGCCTCATGAGGTCTCGAACCCGCAACCTTCCGACTTGTAGCATAGTACCTCAACCAACTACGCTACCGCGTGCCCTTCATATTGTTGTTACGCAATGGTCTTTAAATACCTTCATTCCAAACCGAAAGAAAAACTGAAGCTCCTGAAGGGGTCTGATTGCTTCTTTCTGTGCCTCTTTAACAATATAGTTATTCTCATACAGACATTCTTTTCACCTTACACGAGTATATTGTTGTCGTCACATTGTAGATACTCCGGCTGAAATTCTTCTGTTCATTAATAACGGACATTATTTGCTTTTGGTTTCAGTTCTGTTCACAATTCTTTTCCCCATCACCATCTATCACTGCATGGAATTTGCTTCGTCCGCAGGGCTGCAGCTGACGGCGTGCGAGATGGGAGGCCAGCCACTGAGCTTCAAATGTCATACTGACAGCATAAATTAATTTCTTTAAAATATTTTTGATAAGGATATATTACAAATAGACCATATCCATTTTCACACTGGTTTATGCACCGCCGTAATTATTACGATTTAATATAATTTAGTAAACACATCGACTGCCTCTATGGTCTAGTGGTCAGAGTTCCTGGCTATAGATCCAGAGGTTCGGGTTCGATTCCCAGCACTACCAGATTTTCTCAGAAGTAGTGGGTCTGGAACAGGGTCCACTCAGCCTCGTAAGGATAACTGAGGAGCTATTTCAAGGAAATGCCGGCTCCTGTCTAGAAAACCGAGATTAACGGCCGTGGGGATCCGTTGCGCTTACCATGTACACCCTCTATCCGCAAAAGTTGGCATTAACTTCGCCGACCAGCGGCGGTTTCTCGGTCGGTATAGTTCGCTTGCGGACTACAAGCCACGGAGTAAACACATAACACTGCAACATAAAATAGGGAGAAGAAGCCGTCCTATTTACGAGCAAACAACGGTACGCCATCTCTGAAAACCTAATTGGAGACGAACATCAAAATATTTGATTCGTTTCATTCTGGTCCGTCACACTAACAATATCATGAAAAGTTAAACAGTTCCGTCTAGTGTGACTGCTGAAGATTTTTCTTATTTCAATTATTTATGCCCTTACAAGTTTCGGTCTTCAGAGACCAATATCAGAGGGACACCTTTACATCGATACACTTGGAAGCTACTATTACAATATATGTTCTGAACGTTAAAATATATACATATAATATTAATAACATATAATTGGGTATAAAATTTAAAGTTTTACAACTACAGCGGCTGCTCCAATACATTGCAATATTTGTGATTTTATTGGAATTTATAAACCAAGCGGGTTCGTGTCGTCCCTCTTATTACTTATCTTGACGGGGGCCGAAGGTGTGCCGCCCTGTTCTCGAGAAGAGGGTTCTTTGATGTTGTCCTGTATGTTTGTGGCGCGCCAGAAATTCGATTCAAAGGAATTAAAAACTTTAGCGCTCACTCAATACTCAGTGTGACACTAAAGTCAACGTGGTGATGATGTCTTATCTTGTTAACTCGGTCAGAAGAGATCTTGTGATGAAGGTGTGAAGTTCAGGGCATCCTATATCGTGGGTTCAACTGAATTTCGGTTTCTCTGGTCTGCGTAAGAAGCCAACTAACTGCTATACGGTGACATTGGTGGGTCTGAGGATAGGGAATCAATATGAAAAGTAAATTCTGGCTCGGGTGGAGGCAGCGCTACTGGAATATGGATGGATATTGCTTGCCTACACAGAAAGTGGAAGGAAAGTTAAGATTCTCAGACAGGTGGACTGCCCTGTTTCGCTGGAGGCACACATGCACTTCTTTCCGTTGCTACCAACACAGGCTGACGAGAAATGCAGTAGTATTTATGAACTCTCATTCTGACTGAAGTGTTTGGAAAATGTTGCAAGAAAATTATTTGTGTGGTACCAAGCCTTAAGGTGCACAGGAGGCGAAGACGTAAATACCTGAGCGAATCCTAGACCAGATTCACACCTACATCTCAATTCTGTTGCCTTTATAGGGGGCAAATAACTTCATAGGTAGGGGCTCTGCGAGCTCAAAAGCAGTTCTGGCTTTACGAGGAAGCGAAATCCGGCCGTTCAGTTAACAATCTCTCATTCTACTGAGCTACCACAGACCACTGATCACAATAGTGTTTCTTGATAAGGTCAATAACACAGTTTTGATACAGTGATTCAGTGAATGTACGACCCTTCGGAACAATGAAAACAAAGCTCGGAACGAAGAAAGCAGCCTTCTGGGATGTGGCGCCGTGTAGATATTGCGTTAACCGACGTTTCGGAAGAACGTATCACCTCCATCTTCGGGGTAGAAGAAAATCCGCCAGCGAGGAACCAGCGTGAGATGATGCTAACAGACTAATATCTACACGGCGCCACATCCCAGAAGACTGCCTTCTTCATAGTCACCACCGTGAAAACCTCAAATCTTACAAAGCTCGGAGCATTTGGAATTGTTGAAAACCTAGAAACTTTACCAGACATCAGAGGAGTTGGTATGTTGAATTTGGGGCGAAAATTTCTCCTTAGAATCGCCTGTAATTTAAAACAATATTAAACTGTATTACACAAATCATTTATTCGAATAATAACGAGAATACTCACGACGTGTCTAGACGCAAGCAAATAGAAACAAAGAAACAAATTATAAAATAAAAACAGAAAAATTAAAAAGAAAATGTAATGAAGGAAAGGAAAGAGAGGAAGGCCAAAAGAAACTAACAAACAGACAGAGTGCAAGCAGATGTTCCGCTGTCCGTCATATCCTTGGCACACTTTCGACGACAAAATAAGCAATCACAACTGTGCAATTCGACAAGATATCCTCAGGTTGATGGAGACTAATGCCTTCTGTAATGCGACGCACTGTAGTTTGCTCCCTATGTACCAAGACGAAAGTTATCTTTAGAAGAGTAATTCCGCAGCCCTTCAGCGACCTGAGCACAACGATGTACCAGTAAAAAGCATCGGAAACGTTTCGAAGATCCGACTGAGACTGACCTGTGGAGATGTGTCCCTGTGTGATGGTACCACTCAGAACTTCCTGCTGTCCGGATGCAAGTGTGTCGCCGTGGTGATGCCCAACAGAGGTATCGGCATCGTGGTCCCCCTTATCGGCCCAGCGTGCCTGTCCACACGCCCTTTTCACCTGGAACCAAGACGAAGAAGAGAGGCAGTGAGGTATCAGAATAAGCATAACACAACCGTCAATAAGTATTGTGAATGTTTGTGCAGACCAAAAGCACTGACTGCTCGTTTTAAGGATACCCAATTGACGGATCTTATCGCTGACACGTTTCAAAACTTGATGTCCACTGGCACGCGTTCAGAATTTCTTGATACAACGGAAACATAAGGGACCTTGCCCCCCCCCACCCGGCCGCAGTGTCCGCCTTAGAATCTGAACCATGAATTTCTCAGTGAGGGAATTACCGCCAGTCAATTCTGAAAAGCACCGCTCTTTGATTCTTTTATATTCATTCCTTTCTGCTTACGTTATGTCTTTACCTTAATTATGATTACCGCTTATTATATAAAATAAAACATACATTATATATTTATCTTCCGTTGCTATTATTTTCGTCTGCATGCACTATCTTAGGGCACAGGGAGACCTCTAAGGCCGTGCGGCCCCGTGAGCATAGGCACAATCTCCAACAGGGTCTTCGAGAAAAATCAAAACTAGCCGAACATGCCTATGAAGAGGACCACAGGGTAGGCTGGTATGAAGCTGGGATTTCTAAATTAAAAGTAACAGCAGGTACAGGAAACACATGCTTAAGCAGCCCGATCAGCCAACCCAGTTTGGGCATTCCTCCCTTCTGGACCCGCCTTATCAGCAGTGAGTGTGGCTACTCACAGAGAAGATCAGTATCATCTCACAGATGCTTCATGGGCTTACATTACGTTCTATTCCAGAGAGTTCACACATAGCCTGGTCCCAAAATATATACAGCTGTGGTTATACTGACAGAGGTTGTCCACTGATTGAGGTTAGCTCTTTCCGAGGGACCCAACAGAGTAGGCGTTTCCCCCCCCCCCATTTGAGAACGGGAACAGATCTAGTTTCCGAAACGTTGCGTTCTCTAGTTTTTTCAATTGTGTACACCACCGTCAGAACCGTTTAGAATCTGCCTAAGACTGAACAACGTCGGATGATGAGACAACTGACAAATGAAGAATCAGAAAGGATCTGGAAGAAAGCGATCATGGCCTAATCGAGACATTTTCCTAGAGGGACTGAGGAAACATCTTAATTTCCACCCGTTTCCCAGTCGAAATTCGAACCGAGAAACTCCCTAATACAAGTCTAGAACATTACAGCTACTCCACCCTGTTAGGTGCCTACATTTCGTTACAAAATAGGGATATTAGGCTACACAGGTGAAATAGGATTGTCACCTAACATAATACAAAGGGGTCGAAGCTCTCTATATACATTGGTTCTGGTAGACAGCGCACTTACGCTTCGAGGGTCGGCCCTGCGCGTACTCTTCCGTCTGAGCGCGCACTCGCAAAAACATATATGCACGGCATGTGCATGTATAATAATGTCCTTGAGGGGGGGGGGTAAGTTCGGAAAGTCGAGTGTTGTGGCCTGAAGGCCGACTCCCGGTAATATGTTAACAGAGTATTAACTTTTTGTATTTTAGGGGAAAATGTTGGTTAGGATAGAATTAGTTTTTTGAAATGCTTGTAAGACGTACGAAAGAGGATGTAGGAAGGGTTAAGAAACTTTAAAGAATTCCTACGTATGGACTTAGACGGACATTGGCTTGCCACGCGGGAATGTCCAGTCAGCAGAATGATGTTGAATGTATATCGAACTGCTAACTACAGAATTTACACTTGTGTGATGGGGGGACGTTTGCAGGTAAAAGTGTTAGCCAAATGGTCTAGCAGTAAGGGGCGTGTCCATCCCCTTAGGATCCCAGCCAACCACTTGGGACAAGACGTCATTATAGGCGGGCTTACACCCCCCGGGAAAGTAATGAGTTAGCATGAATAAAGGTATATAACCCAGAGACCAAATTAGTAAGGGGATTATTCTAACAGTAATTTTGGCCAATTGCGGCCGAAGGCCATGTCAGAATGGGCACCGAGTACACACAAGGCAACGCCATCCGTCTGCAGACTCAACAAGTNATATATAGTGGCTGAGCAGGACAGGAGAAAGAGGAGACTAGCGACCCGCAACTGGGTGAAAAGAGAAAGATGAGGTCCAAGAATCGTCTAAGAAAGTGTAATGTGTAACCCGACACCAGTCGGCTCTTTAATTGTGATATTACCAAAATGTATATAACTGTATATTGCTTGTTTATACTAATATAGGGTAGCATAGGGTGAGGATGTGGGTTTCTGTTGTGATTTCCTCCCTTACCACATTTCGCACCTGCGCCCTCCAGCCAAGCCCGGTGAACAGTGTGCCCCTAGCCAATGAAGCATCGATAGAGGAAGTAATTTAGCAGTTTCCTTAGCCCACCCCCTGTGACTGCAGGACAGAAGGTGACAGCGGGAATACCTCCACACCCCCATGTCGCCACGGCATAACAGGTGGCATAACATCGAGTGATAATTAAGTTCGGTACCACTGTGTCGGCATACAAGTGCCACCTGCAAATGCAAAACGATTAACCGAAGCAACCAATACGCATTCGCATTCATTTCTGATTTTAATATTCTGTTACTGGTTCAGAATTACCTGCTGGCCCTTGATTGCATCTCACTAACGCAAAGAAACAATAAGCGGCCAGTAGCTCTGACAATGTAAACAAGTTCATTTCGTAAGATTTGAGGTTTTCACGGAGGTGACTGAAGAAAGCAGTCTTCTGGGATGTCGCGCCATGTAGATATTGTGTTAACCGAAGTTTCGGAGGAACGTATCGCCCCCATCTTCAGGGTGAAACATGTTAGCACCTGCTCCCGCTGGTTCCTCGCTCGCGGATTTTATTCTTCTTTCTTCCTCCCTGAAGATGGAGGCGATGCGTTCCTTCGAAACGTCGGTTAACATAATATCTACATGGCGCCACATCCAAGAACACTGCTTTCTTCAAGTTCATTTCATGCGGTGCCCTCTTCACCGAGGCACTGAGCACATGACAACTGTCTGACAGGGAACAAGTTTCTGGCCTAAGGCAATCATTCCGATGTGAGCTGCAGTAAGTACGTATTTCAGATTCGCAGTTTCTGAGCACAAACCGTTGGAACATCTTTCGGACTAGGTAGGCAACCTTACGGAATAAAGGTTCTTCAGTAAAGCTACTCTGGTTCACGCCGTGTGCTTAACACTCCTAGATAATGACGTAACGACCTACGTGATTATATACTAACTGAGTCGCAAAGGTCTTTTTCATACAAGACGGTTGTAAAGGAAGCCAGAGAGTGAAGCTGACCATGAGCTGCCAGGGAAAGATGAGTACATCTGAAATTCTATTTCCAAGCAAAATGTACGGCTCTGTAACTCATATGGGAGTAGCTCGGTGCCTGTTTCAGTCACCAATTCTCTGATACCCGTATTATACAGCAAAAGATCGATACAACTGAAATATATTGATTCCCCACTAAGCTCCTAAGCCCAAATGTAATTAAACTTATTGAAACGACTTTCTTCAAAGCATATAATTTTACGGCCTCATCTGCGCCTCGATCCTCCTGGTTGTCAGATTACAGAGGGTTTCCACTCTAAATTTCCTCATGCAGTTCTGTTCCCATCTGATCTGCATGACCAGCTCATCATAACATCCTTTAACTAAGGAGAGTCTCAGCATTATAAGCACTGTCCCACAATAGGACCAGTGCATACATACATTTTCGCGTTTCATTTCAGAAATGTATCATTATCGAGTGCAAACGAAAACAATCAGTTATTAAACATTTATTATGTACTCACAGCAGTCCCGACAGAAAATGATGGGACGACGTTTGCATTTTATTTTTCTCTGGTTTGTTTAAAATAATTTCCACTTCACAGGTAATTCAGTTTCAAACTGTGCTGAAAGAGCGTGACTATTGAAATGAACGGATGTGTAAACGTGATAAAGGGCCTTAATACTTGAGTATTATCTAAGCATTCATCTTAGGGAGGAGCTGGGGAAAACCTCAGTAAGGACAGCCGATGGCCGTTATGAAATACACACCCGTGCCCTTCGGAATATTACAACACGACGTTTGGTACCATATTGCTTCGTCGGACATAGGCTACGTAAGTTCCACATGATTGTGCCTAACTTGTCTGCATGTCAGATAACAAATATTAACGAAGGCATGAGACGTTACATCAATCCTAGCACGGGAATTACTTCAACATCTTCATGTTACCCTTTCATTTGTTAGGTCCTGATTTTTGTTTAATGGTTTGCTCCGAAGCTAATGGCATCAGTAATTAGTGTTCCTGCATGGCGTTTGGAGAAGTGTAATTGGGAACACTAAGGAACCATATGAGCTCCTCTAATTAATGCCTGCCGATGACATTCTGAGAGCCCAACTCCTCTTCCGATTTCTGTGGGCCACATTTCCTTGCTGGCATGGGGGCAGGCTTGCAGAACACGCCAGAAATGCTAGTGATGCTCTTCATTTTTGATTCCGAATAATCAGATCGTTTGCACTGTAGTTCCACTACGAAGTGTGTTAAAAGAAATACAAAACTATCAAATAAAGTGTATGGACATAACCACATACATCAGTCACTAGAACCTATATGGAAAGACGGCTACAAGGAAAGTATTTCAGTGTAAACCAAAAAAGAACGACGACAACAGGGATGTTAATTCAATACACGGCGCTGAATTTCAAAAAGCCTTGAAACTCATTGCGGACACCAGAAAAATAAGAATGTGTCATTTTACAGTCCCTGAAAAAAATAGCTATACAAAACTTTAAAGTTTCTAAAATATTCACATCGTACAGAGTTTCCGGACAATGCATTAAGTAACATTGTGTCTGTCTCAAAGTTCTCCTGCCGCCTTGTTGGTATTTTATGAATATGAGGTGATCGCCAATTTATTCACTTATTAGAGTCGCGATAGCTCAGTCGGTATGACGGGCTACGGATTGTACAGCTGGGGTTCGACACCCGGCAATGACAAGGTTTTTATCTTCTCCACAGCGTCCAGACCGGCTCTGGGGCCCACCCAGCCTCCTATCCAGTGGGTACAGGAGGCTCCTTCCCCGGGGGAAAGTGGCAGATCCGTGGTTCTGACCACTCACCGCCATCTAGTGACGGGGTCAACAATGATGGAGCTATACTTCCTCTCCCTCATACGTCTTCATGAAGTGGGACTTAATTAATTAAGCACAGGGACAACTTTACATATGATTTATTTACCTGTGGCTTCTTTAACAATGCATTCAATGACTCATATTATACATTGTCGAGTTACAGGATGGTCAATGAACAATCAATTTGAAAGATTAGAAAGAAGTGTTCGTGGCAGAATCTGAGGTCCTAGCGGAGTACTTTCCTGCAGCGATTGAGGAAAGGTATGAAGGCCCGAGTCAGCATATCCGGTCTTCTTGGCCGGCCCAAAGTCGCTGTACGAGTGCAGTCCACTCGAGCCCAACGCAGGTGCAGCCTTCAAGGTAAGAAATTCATACCGAATTTTACGACGAGAGTTTTACATGTTCATGTCCGCAAATGAATCAAGGGACGAATAAACTTACAGACACACGTGGCTTGGGAAAGAGACCCTTATTCCTGATAACTATCGCATGTCCGATGGTCCAGACGTTCGAACCTCTCAGTGCACCACTTGCTTATCACTGTGTGGCAGAACATTCATACTGCATGTCGTAGTGACATTTGCAGAGAAAGTTAAATTCTGGTCAAACTGGACACCTGAAGAAAATTATTTTCTGTGTCGTGACGTCGTGTAATCCGGCAAACGTTCACCTATGTTTCGGAGAAACATACTGTTTCCATCTTCTGGGCCGAAGAGTGAAGCACAGGCTCGTTTGCTGTCCAGTTTATTCTTCGACTATGAAGATGGAGTATGTTCCTCCGAAACGACGGCGAACGTCTGTCGGACCACATGGAGTCATATCCCAAAAGATATAACTCGTCATGTCACTGCTGTGAGAACATGAGACACGTTTTCCATTAAAAGGAAATTTTCAACTTTCTGGTTAAGAACTTTATTGATTCATAAATTCTCAGGTTACCTCTCTTACAGAGGGGAAACGTGACTTTATCTCCATGCCCCAGAGGAGGGACATGAAAACGGAAAAGCCCGTTCACTTTAAACTTGACGGATGGAATCATCACTTCTATCCTCTGACCGTCTTACGAAACAAGGATCCAGTGCCCACAGAGTGGAAACCAGAAGTCTTCTGTAACTTGCAGCGATGACAAGAACGACAACGCACCAACCGGAAATCGAACCGCGACCGTTCACTTTCCTGACTGTTACTACTATTTACTTATACACTAATCGAAACGAGAAATTCTCTCGCAGAATATTAGTAACAATTGACGGAATACATTTCTATCGGATTTAGATATAACTGTGGTCTAAACAGCAACAGATAAATCAACAGAGGTATGAACCTAGGGACGCAGTTCCTTCTTGACCATTCTGTACCAGTTTCTGTAAGTACACAGCCATTTACTGTTTAACCAACGCCGCTGTCAACAGCTCACAGTTTGCCGCCGAATCTCACGGTTATTAGTGAATAACAAGTGGGAAGAAGTGTAGTGTGAAGTGGTCATGGCCAAATTTGAGGAAAACCACGAGAAACGTCAGGACATAATTTGAAAACACGAGTGACACCACCCAACTGTTACATAATAACAAATACTCGTACATAGGTTATTTTCATCTGATGCACGTCCTCATGCATAATCCAGATGGTGGACCATCATTTGCGCAAAGCATCAGACAAACTGGCATTGTTATTACACTTATGTTACAATGAACCCGTAAAGGCAACGGTACAGTCGTGTCTGTGCTTAATTAATAAAGTACAATGCCATGAAGACATATTAGGGAGGGGGGTATAGCTCCACTATTCTTGACCTCGGCAAGAGACGGAGGTGAGTGGTCAGCTTCAAATCCCGGCCACTTTATCCCCGAGGAAAAAACTGGTACCCATTCGATAGGAGGCTGGTTGGGCCGCAGAGGCTACAGAAAAATATTTTCTCCCTGCGAGGATTCGAACTCCGACCGTCAAACCCGTAGTACATCGCTACACTGACTGAGGTACCTCGACTCCTTACTACTAATCTGAGTTTGGTAAAAATCATATAAGTCTGCCGTAACTTTGTGCAGATTTCGCTTGTCTGAGGGCTTCGGATATTTAGGAACCACTGATGAATCTGTCACGTGCTACCAGATAAAGAGTCTTGAAGTTAACCTCATCTTTCCTATTCAAGCACTAAAGATAACTTGTCAGTGTTGTACCATAAGTAATGGCTGTCAAGTTTCCTTCGCTTGATGTTATACGACCATAACAAAGTCCAAGGGCGGTTTCGTTTAACAACCCCTCAATTTCCCAGGAGGCACCAGTTTACGTCCATATATGGATACCACTAACCAAGATGGCCCTTACTCACTTTCGTCTTCTTCC